GGGGGTGGGGGGGGCGCTTGCGGGGGTGGAAGACCGTGCGTGAGGGGCTTGGGTGTTTGGAGTGGGAGCCTGTGATGGGGGGGCTCGGGTGCTTGAGCCGGTGAGTGGTTGGGGAGCCAGTGAGTGGGGGCTCATCTGGCTGCCTGCAGAACTTCCCACTTCGGGAGGCCACGGTGAACCTGCCCTTGTGTAAGACCGTGAATGGTTAGGTGCCCAGTACTGGGCCGATGGCGGAAGTGCGTGGCACCAGCAGGTGGAGGGCATAGAAGTGCAAAATGCTGACAGCGGTGGGGCGGTCCAGGCCGGTTCAGCGGTGAGCTTCCATCTTTTTAGGCGTGATAAGTTGTGGACGTTCGGTCAGGGATGCTAACTCTGATCTACCTAGGGCGAGGGTGACGGACCGGCACCAGGGGACGATGACGTATTGGGCCTGCATTCTGCGGGATGCTGGTGGACCGCGGCACCGTCAGGACCGGGGCGTTAACCCTTCCGTCCCAGAACTGATGACGTAGTGGCTCCTGGAGCAGGTCCAAAGGAAATTGCGGCCCCTTTAAACCTCGCGAGGGTGGGGCCGAGGACCCGGAGGTTGCTCTCCCTGCTGGCTCCAAGGCCGCGAGGGGCGGGGCCTTGCTATGCAAATCGGAGCTGCTGATCGATGACGCGCCATCACCCCACGCGCCGCTCCGCGCGCCGATTGGCTGACGCCTGCCTGGTCCCATTGACAACAAACAAGGGGATGCGCGGTGGGGGCGGGGCCCCGGGGGCGGGGCCCGGGCGGGGGAATCCCGCCCCGCCCTTTCCGCGCGGAGCTCGGGCGTCGCGCAAACATGGCGGCAGCTGGCACGGGCCGGTGAGGCGGTACCGGGTGGGGGCTGTCGGGTATCATGGGCGGTAGCGGCGGCACCGCCCCCGCGTCTCCCTGAGCCGGCCCTCACGGGGCCTCTGCGCCGAGTTGGGCGATGGACGACAGTGGCGAGTTGGGCGGTCTGGAGACCATGGAGACCCTCACGGAGCTGGGCGACGAGCTGACCCTGGGGGACATCGACGGTGAGCGCGGGGCGGGCGGACGCGCGGGGAGGAAGGGGTTACAGCAGCGCGCGCTTGCGGGTGCGCGTGCGCCCACCCCGCCGCAGCCCCGGCCGGCGCGGCCCCGCGGTCCCCAGCCTTTCTGGCTGGCCCGGGACGATTCCCGGACGAGTCCCGGGGCGTTCGGCCGCGGAAGCCGGGTGTGGCCCGAGCAGGGAGCGGGGCGTCCGGCTGTGCACCTGTCAACTCCGCCGGGCGGGGCTCCGGAGTTTCCCGAACTGGGCCCGGGCACTCGGCGCTCCGGGGCTCGGCGCTCCACTCCTCTTGTCTCGGGATTGACTGACAGCCCGGGCTCCAGGCGCGCTGGAAAACTTTGGGCAACAGCTGCGGGTGCAACTTGCTGGTGGAGCGGGCAGCGCTGCAAGCGCCTCTCCCGGGATGGAGACCCGGGCGTGCCTGCGGTCGCTTTGCAAGGGGAGCAACGGGGACTGAATGGTGGCTCCCGGGCACTGGCTGGGCAGCGGGCGACCTTTGTCTCGGCCACCTTGACTGCAGAGAGCCCGGAGCCCAGGGATCCTCTCTTGCATTTGCCTCATTTTTCGACCAAGATTTGAAGAGAGTCCCAGACTTGCCCCCATGGTCATCATGTTGATTGATTAACAAAGTTCAGTTCTGTTAGTTCCTTTCCACTCTACCTTCGGGGATTTGAAGTCCAGTTAATAGGCTTTAGAAGTGTAATAATTCTCAATAGTTGGGCCCTTCATACGTTCTAGGCTCTAAATTTTACTCCGTGTATTATTCCTCACAACAGTTTTGCAAAATAGATGTTACTCCATTTTTCCCTCTCAAGAGGTGTCTAAGGTCACTCACCTTGAGTCAGAACTTTTAAGCAGTGATTTAGGAGCATTGTGCTTTTCCTTTTACAAAGTGTTTTTACATCTGAACACTCACTGCAGTCTGCAGGCAGCTATTATAATTGCATCCTCATTTTGCAGATGAAGAAACAGACCATTCTCTTTTGGAGGAAGAGATGAATGTGGGAACAGCTATCTGAAAAAGATCTGTTCGCCTCTTTCTTTTCTCTTGTTTTTATAGTATTTCCCCCCTTCATTTGTCCTTTTCATTTTGGTCATCCAGACCGTGTGACAAGACCCTGTAATTAAGTCCTACTTTTAACCAGATTCTTCCACTCGGTGTTGCTAAATATAAGATGGTTAACAAATGGGAGGAGTTAGTTCTTGGAACCTATGGAGAGTAGCTGACTTGTTTGAGCACTGGGGTGTTACACACTCACACACATTTCTCTCAGTCCTCAGAACAATCAGATAAAGATGATTGTCACTCTAGTCATCTCACAGATGAAACTGCAGCCCAGGGCTTCACCCAGTGTTCCACAGTCAGTAGGAAGTAGGCTTCACTGTGTACTAGCAAGGGTATAAAAAGAGATCATATATGTTTTGTACTTATTTATAATTGATCCTTGTCTTAATTTTCTTTTTTTAATTTTTTAAAAGAAATTATTTTATGTGTATGAGTGTATTGCTTGCATGTAAGTGCACCTGTGTCATGCAGTGCCGGCAGAGGTTAGAAGAGGGTGTCTGATCCCCTGGAACTGGAGTTACAGACCACTGTTAGCTGCCATGTGGGTGCTAGGAATTGAACCTGGTTTCTCTGTAAGAGCAGTCCATGCTCTTAAACACTAAGACATCTTTCTAGCCCCTTTGTCTTAATTTTCAGTGTGTGAAATTACCTAGTGGTTAATACTAACTTTATTTCCATAAATTGTGTACCCTGGAAACTCTAGCAGTGAGTCAGTGGCTTTGCAGGTCCCCCACCAGGTTTGGGAAGTGTGGGGCCCTGGCTTCAAGAGCAGTAATAATTCAATATTGGCTTTGGTGTCTTAATTGTCAGGAGTGGGGTGCATAGAAAGGATGGAATTTTATGACCACATGGAGATGGGGTGAGTGACAGACTGTAATGCTGAGTGAACAGCTTGTATTTGCATAGGGCAGTTAAATGAAAGTCACTGCGGAAGCTTGGTAAAGGCAGGTTTACCAGGAAGTCCACACCAAGGAATTAGCCTTTGACCCTTGAAGAACTGGTTGGCCAGACTAAAGGCCAGTGGTCTACAGATAGAAGTATCCCTTAATATTCACCTCTTCTCCCTCTGGCATGTTACTACAGTGAGGGCAAGAACCTTTCCTTTTCTTCCCATAATTCTTTGCACTAGAACAGTTCCTGGCACAATGAGAATGCTTACTAAATACTTGTTTTGTTAGGTTTTTTGAGACATGGTCTCCCTATAGCCCCAGCTGGCCTGGAACTCACTATGTAGACCAGGCTGGCCTCAATTTCACAGAGATCCACCTAAAGGTGCTCACCACCATGCCTGCCTTCACTAGGGCATGTTTGTGAAATATCTGTATGACTATCTGGACAGGATACTAAGTTGTATTAGATACAGTTTTCAGTATTGGATCAGATCAGGGGTGACCAGCCCAGATGCTCCTGGGAGCCAGTCAAATGAGGAAGGAAAGAGATTATATGAATATATTTACTTTTGTATGTAATGATGGGGATAAAGGGATATGTACAACCTAGAGATCTCATCATGCTTTCCTCTAGCTGTGAGCCCACAGAAACCAGCCTGTTCGCTCATCTAGCCCCTTTCTTGCGTGTCTTCTAAGTATCCCCATAACAGACATAGTACTGAGGGTACTGTCACACAAGCCCTACAGGGCCTCTTCTCTCTCAGAGGAGAGAGTTTAAAGTAAAATAAGTGATCAGTGGGCTGGAACTATAGCTTTGCAGTCAGATGTTTGCCTAGCATGTGTGAAGCTCTGGGTTTAATACCCAGCTCTGCAAAACAACATAAATGAACAAGCTAGCCATTTGTGGGACACAACTGTAACTAACCCCAGCTACTACTGAGGATGTCACAGAGGACTGCCTCAAGTTAAAGGCCAGCTTGAGCAGCTTAATGAGATGCCCCCCACACACACCTCAAAATAAAAATGAAAAAGAGTGCTAGGGATGTAGCGGAGCTCTTGCCTGGTGTGTGTGAAGCCCTGGGTGCAGTCCCCAGTACTGAAGAAGAAGAAAAAAAAGAAAGTGATCGTACCAGAACATTGTGAAAATAAAATGGGCTATATCAGAGTGTAGCATCTGTTATACAGAGTGTGTATCTATAATACATCCCCATTTTATTTTCATAATAAAATATTTTCATAAAAATAATAGGATAGCCTAGTTTAGATCAGGTAGTCCAGGGAGGCCTCTTGGAAGAAGAATCATTGTCCTTTTTTTTTTTTGGTCTCTCTGTAGCCCCAGCTGTCCTGCAACTCACTATGTAGACCAGGCTGGCCTTGAACTCACAGTGATCTGCTTGCCTCTGCCTCCTGAGTGCTGGGATTAAAGGCGTGCATCACCACGCCCGGCCAATGTCTTTCTTTTTAAAGAAATGCCCCAGTCTGGATTTTTATGTGAAATCTCCAGGTTTAAAAAAATTTTTTTATACATTTAAAAAATATTTTATT